AAAATTGTCAGCATGTGGTAACATTCATTTTATGCAGGGTCCAAGAAAAAGAAGTCCCTCAAGCACTTTGTCCAAAAACTAATAAAAGTAAAACATCATCCTGAACGTGACAGTTCAAACAAAGTGGTACTCAAGATACATATGGTCTTTCATTGTTTTCTACTCTGCTGCAAAGATGAGAATCAGAAATGTCTTCCAAGGAAGGAAGTGAGTGGTCAATTATTTTTTGGACAATATCTGTAATCCTTTGGTGGGATCTCTTGTCCACCATTAAGCAGCTGGCATACCAAACAGTGATGCATTATACCAGTAGACTCTCAATAGAGCAGCAGGAGAGAAGGTCATCAGCAGTTCCCTTTAGTAGTATGGATCAGAAATAAAAATAATTTCCAATGAGATTTGAACTTTTATCTTTGGTTGTCTATATAACTGACAACATATTAACAGTTTGGATATGGAAACCAGTCAGCAAGTGAAATTCAAATCTATACTTCTTATTTAACAGTTATAGAATATTATAAAAAGAAACCATTGCAATAAAATTAATGAAAATGATTCATTTAAGAAATTCAAACAAAATAAGACTTACTTACTACAACAATTGGCTGTAAATAAACAATAGGGTTTGAAGAAAATCAGATAAGAAAAAATGCCTTCTATAAAGACAAGATTTGAACTTTGCCTATTGGTTGTCCCTGGCAGATACACTACCTCTAGATACAGAATGCCTCAAAGAAGGCAACTTCTTCAATTATAATTCATGAAGTTTACTTAACGGTTGTGTAATGTAAGAATAACCCTGGTATTGCAATAAAAAAAGCAACAATAAGATTAAAGGTAAACCAGATAAATTTTTTTTTTTTTTTTGACATAAGCAATTGTTATATACTTTGATTTTTTAATACTGTTGTTCAGTTAATATAAGGCCGAAGAGCCACTCAGAGTAGAGTATTACTGAATGAGGTTGTTGTAAGTGTAAAGGGAGAAAGTAAGAATTGCATATTACGTGGATATGTAGAATAGAAAACCGTTGGCTCTAGACTTGAAAAGGCTAAGATCATAGTAATCAGGGGAGCATCCTCTCAGGAGTCTGTTCTAGAGCATAACAGTTCTGACAAGTTGTCTGAGGGGAACTTCCTTTTTGGCAATGGAATATGAAGAGAGTGTGGATGAGGTGACCCCATGTACATGGTATTTATTTGAATAAATCAAAATTAATAACACTAAAATTTCATATCACATTGATACCTTTGGAAAAAAGCATAAACCCATCACTTCTAGTCATAGGTAAATTAGTAGGGCATACTAGTCCCTTAAGTTGTGTTAGGACAAACAGTGTAAGAAAAAACCAAGTCTGAATTCAAAACCAACCTGAAAAATGATAGACTGTCAGGTTATCTTGTTCTAGACATGACAATGGCTGTTGTTTCAGTACACGTGGTGCACCAACAACCCCTCCAATTGGTTACAGGAATATAGTAGCCAAAAACCTCTGATATCAATCAAGTGGAATTAAAGAGAAGAATATATAAAAGTAGCAATTAATATTTCCTTTTTATTTTATAGTTCCAGGAACTGCTTAGTGGCTAAAACAATTACTGTTTTTTTTTTGCTGTGCTAATGACCAATGTTAGAGCAAAGATAAAATGAAAGGATTTCAAATGCAGATTTTTCCAGATAGGCAGATCCTCGGCAGTTGTAAGATTTGGTACAATACTATTTTATCTCCTACGTGAACCAATATCCCTACTCTCCACCAAAAATTCTCACCTTGATGAGGTGATGGCCTTCGCATATCCTCACAATCCAAAGTGCTATATCAGTTAGAGTTTTATTCCTAGTAGGTAAAACCAAACCGGGCAGGTTGTAAGATAGGGGTTAGACATTTTGTATTCATTTTATTTTATGATAGCCTTTTGTCAAACTTGATATAGGAGTTTACATGCAAAAAATCAAGACATTTTTGATAAAAGTCCCACTCTTTGTATTTTAATCAATTCTTGTTTTTCACAAGAAGGTTCAAATGATTTCAAATACCTCTTCCCTAGCATCTGATAATTCATGAGCAATAATAAGTTAAAACATTTAAATGATATTAAAAATAAATTTTTACAAGAAATACTGGGTGCAGCAGAAATACCCCCCACATAATGGTAAAACATTAGCCAGATGAATACCCCCCACATAATGGTAAAACATTAGCCAGATAAAGACACTAGTGCATGTCTTACCATTATGTGAGAGATATTTCTGATGCACCATCTACAAGAAAAATTAAAATGTACTACTTCTATCTCCTAATTGTTGTAGCATTAGTGCATTATATATATATATATATATATATATATATATATATATATATATATATAATGTATGTATGTATGTATACACACACACAAATTTAGTAAATTTTATGAGAAAGACGTGGTGCTAGTAGTAGCAGTAGCAGCTCTTTTAAATAAAAAAATTAATTTAATATATTTCTGGGGAAAATATATATAATACTAGCAGTAGAGCCCGGCATTGCCCGGGGATGTAACAGTAAGAGATAGATCAAGTATCGACCATCATAAAGACTGAAAAATAAAATTGACAAAGATTATTGTTTAAGGTTGACGGACACACATGTCTTAATTAGTTTTTTTTTTGGCTTTTTTTGTTGTTTTTTTTTTTACAAATTGGTCAAACCCAAACTCAAACAAAAACATTGTTTTCAATCGTTATGAGTCTACCGATTGAATAGAATTTTATTATAAACAATTGTCTTGTAAATGGAATTTTTAAAGCATTCTGAATGTAAAAATAAAGAAAAAAAGTGTGCAAGAAACACTTCCTGCCAAAAAAAAATGTAAAGTTTTGTTGAAATCGGTTGAAAAATGTAGGAAATCCGATCCCATATATAAACGAACACACACAAACAACCTGGGTTTTATAAGTATAACTCGATATGAGTTGTGCCCCTTTCATTCTCGCAATAACTCTTAATCAAGTTTTCAAATTGATTTTGTGCAAAAACAATTGAGTTTTTCCAATTTTTGGTGCAGTCAGAACCACCGCAAGGTAATTTTACATAGTCCTGTGAAGTTTTGTTGAAATCGGTTGAAAAATGTTGGAAATCCGATCCAATATATAAACAAACATACACACACACACACTCAACCTGGGTTTTATAATAAGTATGATAAATATTATTAATCAAACTGCAGAAAATACACAGACACCAGCAAATCTTGCAATAAGCATAATTTAAAGAAAATATCCCTATTACAATCAAAATGAGAAAGAAAACTAAACTTTGAAAACCAATTTGAGGTCCTTAAGATGTTCCAGTTAAGGAACAATGGTACAGGCAATTTACTTGCTTTATTATTTACTAATGTTAGACACTGCAGAAAGCACCAATTTTGAAAGTATGCATTAAAAGATAAATAGGGTTGCCTGTCTATTTACTTACGACAGGAACTTGAATCCAAAATCCTGAAAACAAAGAATGAATGCCTTCACATGTTTTATGGATCAGATTACACAAACCAAATCCTCCTGTGACAATAGAATAGTGAGATTATTCAAACAAAACTTAATGAACAATAACAATGCTTGAAGAGATTGAGCATAGTGAAACTCGGGTGGCAAATATATTATCCATGCCCTAGACACCAACTCTGAGAATACATGTTTAATTTAATGTCATTTTTATCAATAAAATTGATTAAAAAAATTTATAAATCAACCTCTAAGGGATATTTTTGTTAGTTTCAAAATTTTTTCCAAAATGATTAAACAATATGTATAATATTGCATTTATAAGTAGAAAATGTTTATAAAAATACAAACCCAATATATAAAGCTCAAAGTTTTTCTGTCTACCCAAAAACATGGAAATGTATTAAATATATATAATTTTTATTTTATACCTATCATTATAATTATTTATTAAATATATATGATATTTTTAGTGGATACTCAGATTCGAGTAGGTGCTTTGTTTATTTATCAAGTGGAAGTTACCGTTTAACCCCACAAGACTTACCACCACTTGACTACAAAGTTTTTTTTCATATCCGCACACTGTTTACATTTGCATATGAAATGAAGAGAATTTTTTTAGAATGGATTTTTATTCATTTTTGTATCAAAAATGTTATTTTTAATGGATACTCTTATTTGAGAAGATGCTCCAATATACACAAATTGTATTGCTTGTGAAGAGAGCACCCCCCCTTAACTAAACTTAAAACTTAATATGTATATCCACTATCTCACTTTAAAAAAAATAAAAATAAAAAGTATGCCATGATGAAAAAATGCCTCAAATTTTACCATCAAAATATTAGCATAGCAAATTTTAGCATTTTTGTTGAAAAACACATTAATTTGCAAATTCTTGCAAAATCGAAACAATTGCCATAAAGCCAAACAATTCTTGTTTTATTAGTAGAAACTGAAAGCACTTCAATATGAATTTTACAAGCATAAAATTAATGATTTAGCACATTGAAACCTCCACTGGTTATGCAACATTCAATACCAGCTTTTTTGTGTTCAGAAAGTTTCCTTCTAACAATAATAGGAACCAAAAAATGTTGTTTTGGCATTTTTACAAACAAGAGAAAGTTTCTAATATCCTCAGAGAATAAAAGTTACTTTTTATTAGTTAACTAAAAGGCCAACTTTAACAAACAAAAAAACTGATAAGCAACAATGGTCAAATGAAGATCAAATAGAATTGGAGATATCCAAGAATTCTGATAATTTTACAAAATCTATCAGAATTCTTGGATATCTCCAACCTAATGGAATTATAGAACAGACAGAACATTATATGGATTTGAGGAGACTTGCTAATGTTTAATTTCTGGATATGAATATGAATGAAGTACAATAATTTCCCATTCTAGCAAGACAATTTTGCATTATATTTACAAGAGAACATATTGTATACCAAAAAAATCAGCAGTCAATTCTGGAAAAAATAAAAACAAGAAAAAAAAAAAACACAC